TGTTGCTGTTGTTGTTGAACTAAAATTTACATACAATGAAGTGTATGGATACTAAATGTAAAATTCAGTGAGTTTTGATTTGGATAATCACCACCCCAATCCAAATTTAGACATTACCACCAGCCCAGAATTTTCCCTTGTGCTCTGGTGTAGTCAACCCACATCCCCATAAACAACTATGATCCTGATTTCTTAGAACAGATTAGATTTGCCTGTTCTTAAACTTCACATAATGGATTTATACCTTAGGCACTATTTGGAGTTGGTGTTCTTTAATCAGTATGTTATTACACATTCTTCAACTTGTTCCTTGGTATTGCTGAGCAGTGTTTCACCATGTTCTATATCCTAATCTGTCATCCATTCACCTGTGGATGGACATTTGGGATGCTTCCAATTTGGGACTGCTGTGAATTAAGCTATTAAGAAGACCCTTGTACAAGTCCCTTTGTGTACATATATTTTTGTATTTCTGAGACAAGCAGTTGAAGCAGGCATGTCTAACTCATAGGGCATGTATATGTTTAGCTTTATAAGAATCTGTCCATTTTCCAAAGTGATTGGAACCCTGAAGTGTCATGGACGCAATTTGACACACACACTGTACAACCTCCTCCTACAATTAAGATTGACCTTCACCAGACTGTACGTGGGAGCTTGTTCACAAAAGCTGGATGGGTTCTTCTTCAAGGAAGAGCTCTTCTCCCCCCCAAATTTAACTCTCTACCTTTGAAACTAGCTGATGTTGTCCAAAATTTATATCCAATGGTCTTTGAAAAACTATAACAGGCAAAATTAGGTATAAAATTGCATTCTGCAAGAATTACAGAAATCCTACCCTTTATGAGAACATAACTTCAACAGTGAAATTTAACAGAATATAATAGGTTTATAACAGATAAAAGTCACCTTATCAAAGCCATATAAAATGTGCTCACAGGATAAGAAAAATACCTTTACATATTTAAAAAGGAGCAGAAAAAATAGTAATTATGCAAAAGGCAATAGACCTAAGCCTGAATTCAGAGAGGCAGCCCACCCTGCTGGGCACAAAAGGAATTTTAACTATTCTCTCCTCTCAGGTAAATATTTGAGAAAATTCTAAACATGTTTAAAGAAGAAAATAGCAATAATGTGTATTCTCACTGCAAGAATTGAGCACAGCGTATTGGCATATCTGCTTCTAGTTTTTTTTTTAATGAAAAATCTATTATAATTTTTGGTTAAAAAGATAATAATGCTCTCTAAAAAAGAATTCAGACAATAAAGAAAAATTTAAAGATAAAAGTTAAAAAAAATCATACTTGCAAAACTCTTCTCCAAGTGTTCTATTTGCTGTAATTAATAGCTGTAGATAAAATCTTGACTCTCCAGTCCAAGACTAGTTTGATTTCACCTCTGAATGACTGTTTGAGGCCAGTGTATTTCCTTCTACCCTTTTGTACCCTGGGACAGATTGGAGCAGAAAAGGGCATTATTGGGCTCTGCTCTTTCTTTGAGGATCCTGTTAAATGTCTCATTCCAGAATCCACTCCACCTACCTGGAGGCAGATCTTGTTCCCATGAGGGGAGGACTCCAGATTTCCATCATTTCCCAACTATAGGCCCAGACTCACCTTTTTTAAGCTATAGACCCTCTTCTACCCCTTTCTACAAGGCTGTTATTTCCATGAATCCCACCAGAATAAGGAAAAAAATCTGCATTTTGATTCAGCTTGCTTCTTTCCAGATTTTGAAATGCAAAAGTACACTCTCAGGATTTTGTTGACTTGACAGTTAGGCTTCTGAAGTCCTGGTGCTGAAGCTGAGCCGTGCTGCCCTTCTGCCCACCTCTAAACCTTCATCTTTTCTTGGACCAGCTTTTGAAATGTCCCTGAATTATGTTCTGCCTCTGAGGCTGCTGATAGTGACTTTCGAAGGGTCTGGTTTTTTAATTTTTTCCAATATCGTAGGTATTATGAGAGGACAATTTAGTAAACCCTTGCTGAAGCTGACTAATGTCCAAAGTTCTGGGCTCCTCTCGTCTCCCTGACCACCCGTGATGCAGGACCAAGGCACTTCATCTGTCATTCGTCCGACTCTGAGCTCGTGGTAGGGTGTCAACAGTCAGCTGTGGCAGGAAAAGGGATGCCCTTGACGTGCCCCCTAAACCTATCTTGTCTCAGGAGGAGGACATGACTTTAACCCTTTACATATGTCCCTTAAGACTTACATTTTCAGTATCTAGGCTCCCTAGAAATCAATTTCCTAATTAGAAAACAGTAGCTAATCTGGCCAAATGCTAATAAGTGAGAAGTGTGATTTGTCTAGAATGAGGGAACAGGTCAGCATTAACAATTAAAAGGACTAGAGGAGAGAGCTCCTTTTTTTTCCCTTACTCTTCCTTTTGGCTGATTGGGCTCAGCTATAGGCTATAAATAACACTTTTAATTAATGGCTATTTGAGAGTCAGTCATCAGAACCTTAGTTTAGGAACTTTTACCTCTGAGATTCATTGCCCTATTCTATTTCTTAATGATAAGCATAAATAACTGGTAATGTGAGTTAAAGCTGAATCCACTTACAAATGTCAAGCTACATCATAGCACTCTCCAGGCTTCACTATAATAGATGCAGATTTAGATAATCAATTCAACTGCAAGGAGAGTTATTGATCATGAATAGAACCAAAGCTGTTGGCTAAACGCTGCTGCATGCCAGTCATTTCATGGACTTACAGGATAAAGTCAAAGTTAAGTCAAAGGCATGAGTTTGCAATTAGTTGGGTCTAAAGACTTCATTTTTTTTGTATATTAAACAAATTAACTGGGTATTTGTAGCGGTTTAGTCTCTCAGCCGTGTCCGACTTTTTGTGGCCCCATAGACTGCAGCCCACCAGGCTCCTCTGTCCATGGGTTTTCCCAGGCAAGAACACTGCAGTGGATTGCTATTTCCTTCTCTGGGGGATCTTCCTGACCCAAGGATCAAACCCTGGTCTCCTCCATTGAAGGCAGATTCTTTACTGACTGGGCCACCAAGGAGCCTGGTGGCTGGGTATTTACCTTCACTTTAACCTAACTGTATAGAGTCAAAAGGGAAAAACAGTAGAAGTTGTGTGTGCTTGCAATTTTCTTCTAGTGTTTTCTATTTCCTCCAATATTGCCTATTTACATAATTCTTGTTGCAGGTCCCTGAACTTGTCATATTTCTTCATGGTCACCAGGCAATTATCCAAACTCTTTCTTCCATGTAGATAACCTTCGCTGAACCTCAGCCTCTCAAGACCTGGCTTTCGTGTCATTTTCTCTCCCCAGCTCACCACAGCCACCACCACCACCCTCCAATCTAAGAAAGCTGATGACTCCCTCTGTTGGGAGCCCACTCTCCCTGGACTTCTTTCTGTGTTAATATTGGAACCTTTCCTTCTGCTTGATGGGTTCCTCTTCCATCTCCTTCCACAGAGAAGATCTTAGTCTTATTCAGATGCACAATGCCTACATGCTTGTTGGATATACAAAGGATTATTCCACAACTATTGAACACCTGCTCTTTGCCAATACTTGTTAGAAGTCAGAAAGGCATAGATTTTTATCTCTGTTCTCAATATGCTCACGACCCACTGGGGAATAGATGCTTCTAAATCTAAACTCAGGAAGCCTAAGAGAGGGGTCTGGGAAAGTGCTGAGGCTGAGCTGGTAATTGGCAAGGCCAGGAACACATAAAAACTCATCATATTTTAGTATCTCTTCTAGGATTTTCATAATCGGAATGCACCTGCTTTAATCATATGTTCCACTTGGTTTACTAATGTCTTATCAGTGTAATCTGAACCTATACTTCTCAAACTCATGTGCACACAGATCTCCTGGGGATTTTGTTAAACTGCAGTTTCTGATCCCACAGGCCTGGGGAGGGGCCCGAGGGTCTGCATTTCCAGTAAACTCCCAGCACACCGTTGTTGCTGGTCTACAGATCACACATCCAGGAGCAAGCCTATAAACCATTGTCACGTCAACATAGAAACATTGTCAAAGGGCCATCGGGTTTTGGAAAAACTCTTAGTGCTCCCCACCTAGACATTCTTCTGACTGTAATTAAACATGATGCAAGTTGCAGCAAGAGAAGTTAAGGTTCAGCACTGACCCCCAAGAAACTGACAGGATGCCTTGAAACTGTTCATTCCTGGCCCCAGTTTTATCATCTAAATACAAAAGGTCTTTTTTCCTGCACTTGAGGTCTGCTGCTACCAAGTGACTGTCGTCTGAGTGTGTAGCAAATTTTCCCCAAATATTCAAGATCACCATTCTTTGCTTACATCTCCCTTATGTTTAAACTATTAATACCCCAGGTCCTTAATGTAACTGGAAATATCTGTTAACAAAATTTTATAATTGCCTTAAATAATTATAAAGAAAATACTTCTGTTTATGCAATTTAAAAAAAAAACAAACCCTGCAAGGTACCCATGGGAATCTAATTTCTTGTTAACTTTTAATGGTTCCTATGACAGCGTCTACATATTTTTTCAGTTTATTAGAGTCAGCTCCTCACCGTCAAAGTCAAACCTCATTAGACCATCAGACCTTGGACCCCGATGCTAACATCTAGCATCATTTGTCAATTTTTAGCTTTCCTTCTATCAAGACAAGATCCCTCCTTGAGCCGTCTTCTTTTGTAAGTTTTCTTCCTCTCTTCCTCACACATTCTCCAGCGCTGTTCCAACCAGACCAGGGGCCCAAGCGCATGAGCAGCCATGCTAACTCTTCCTGCCTGCTCTTCGGCACCGCCTCCCCACAATCATACGCTGTTTAAGAGGCAGCCTTGGCCGTCTGGTTTGCCCTCACGCACTTAGTCATTACAGCACTTTCCCGATAAGTGCCTGTGAACTGAACAGAAGCAGAACTCTTCATCATGCAGGCACACGGAAGGCACTGGAAGCCTTAGCTTGCCCAGAGTCAGAGTCTAGAGAGGACTCTTCTAAAGGACCTTGGATCCTTCTCACCTGTCATGGTCTCGTTTAGATCAATGCCAAGGACGATGAAGGCGTCATCGTTGGGTCCTGGGACAATGCCTATGCTTATGGTGTTCCCCCATCAGCCTGGACTGGAAGTGTTGACATCCTGTTGGAATACAAGAGTTCTCAGAAACCAGTCCGCTATGGCCAGTGCTGGGTTTTTGCTGGTGTCTTTAATACATGTAAGTATCCAGTTGAGTCAAAGTTTTTTTAATGTATAAGAAATATCACCTTAAGACATTTAGTGTATAACCTGGTGAAGGGACCCAGCAATCTCTGTTGGATCTATAGAATTTGTGGATGGTTATTCTGGGATGTAGTCAATGCATAATTAAATTGTACTGGGCCAGTATGCTCATAATTTCTCTTTGATTGCAGAACGTTTATAGATAGAATGAGGGACAATTTCCTACATACTCCATCATTCAACCCTCAGCAAAATGGAGAGTCTTGGAGCCAAGAAAGGGTGCGGGGGAAGGATATACAATTTTTAATTAGTAACCTCCACATTTTAAAAAAGGTTAAATTAGCAAAGTTTAAAATAATAATAAGATGTAGACCTCTTACTTGTTATTCAGAAGGTTTATAAATATGCTTATTTGCTTACTGTGTATCCCTGAGAATTTTGTAAATATGCCCACTTAGTTTTTACCCTAGCTGTGGAAAGCGGGTGGCTTATCTCAGTTCTTACACATGAGTCTCAATGTCCCTGAGCAATTAGACACCAGAACTTAATGAACCAGCTTTACTTCTGGCATCCCCTCTTGCCTTTAAACTACCCAACATCCAAACCGCAGAGGAAAACATACGGGAACAGAACCGTGCTCTTCCACCTCGTGCATTATTTTTGAATATGGCATTTGTCTGTCCAGGCCCAGACAATGTTATTGTTAATTCAGTGAATAGTTTTTTTAAAAAATACATTTATTTCAGTATGTCTTCATCATTGGTAATGATATTCATTCTCATGCCATTTCCATAGCCCTGTAAGAAAGACATGAAACTCAAGTCAAATTGTCCTTTCTGCTTACTCACTAAGAAAGGCTGTTTTATCCAGTTAGCATGCTTTTTAATCAGAAAAATCAAGGAGGGTCTGAAAGCTGGAAGCCAGAATGAAATAATTTTTTGAAAATGGTCAGGAAGACTATCAGTTTCAGCTCAAATTTGCGACCATCTGAGAGTCAGTCAGAGGTCCAAGTGGGAAGAAACTGTAAGTGTTGTGTATTTTGTTTCTCTATGGCATCAAGCTGAGTAGGATTATTTTCTTAGCCATTCCCATCTACGTAAGAGCTACAGGAACATATATTTCCTGGGAGCAATGAAGGGCAGTGAAGCTAAGGTATCAGTGTCCTGGGAAGCCTGGTCTGTGGAGTTCCACGTGGAAGCCTGAACTTCAGGGAAGCTAACAGTTGGAAGAAGGCCCCCTCCTCCATGGCTTCCAAGCCAAGATTCTGTGCCAGGGGCTTGGCGGAGACAGCCTCAGTGATGAAATGCTCCCAGGAAAAAAAAACGCTCCCCGCATCCCCCTGATGCCTGCAGTTTCACTATCCCAGTGTGATTCCTTTAGGTTCAGAAGCATAAAATAGTAAACAGCTTCCATCCACGTACTGTTGCTGTTGTTTAGTCACTGAGTCACGTTCGACTCTTTGGGACCACATGGACTGTAACACACTAGGCTCCTCTGTCTGTGAGATTCTCCAGGGGAGAATACTGGAGAGGGTAGCCATTCCAGGGGAATCTCCCTGACTCAGGGATCAACGTGATCCTCCTGCATTGCAGGCAGACTCTTTACCGCTGACCCACCTGGGAAGCCCTCCGCCCGTGTACGCCTTCTGTATAAAAGGATCACCAGGTCTATTCCTGAAAACCGACTCTGGTGATAAGGCAGGGGCTCAGTGTAGGGATGCCACCACGAGGATAAACCTGAATCCTGGTGCCCCGTGTCAAGCTGCATCCGGCTGTGATCACGTGAATTGGCGCTAAGGTAGAAATAGAACTAGAGTGCCAATCCTTTCGTTGGGAAGACTGTAGTGTGTGTCAGGGTCGTAAATCAAGAGAGGAAGATGGAAGTGGGAGGCAGGTGGTGGTTACCATCAGTGTCATTTGGGGTGTGAAGATTAAGTCATTTAATGAGGACCCTTGAGTCTCTACCAGGCTCATGTTTGGACTTCCAAGGTTGTTCTATTGAAGGGGGTGGATAGTCTTTGGTTAAAAATGCTAAACAATTCTGAGAGGGGAAAAAAAAGGCAAGTCATTAATCTTAAAATTGTCAGCTGAATTATTTTCAATGAGCACTGATGTCTGGCGTCCTGGGAGCCAGGAAGGGCATTTGGATTAAGTTTGATCAATAGGTACATATGGCAAGAGATGCATCCAGGTAATTTATTATCTAACAATTAAAACGAACCTGTGGTATCACCCTCCACCAAGTGTCACAAGAGCAAGTTCCACCCAGGAAAACAAACCACACCGAGGCTCTGCTTGGTAAATTTCTGATTTCCTACTAGCTGGGCTTTTTAACTCCTATTTTCAGAAACACAGACCCATTAGCCAGACTTAAATAATCCTAGTTTGATGATCATGTGATTAGCAACTTAACAGTTGGAACCCTGTTACTGGGATCCCATTCCCACTGGTATAATTTGGCACCCACTGGTCCAGCATCAAGGCTTCTGTCTGCTTCCCAGACCCTTAAAGACAGGCCCCCTTTTGGCTTTGGACACCTGGGAACAACGTGTCCATGTTGGTCAAGAAGGAAGTCCCTTCTGAGAAGGGATTACTCACTCTGTGTCTACTAGGTCTTGGTGATCTGTTTAACTGTGGTCCTTCTCTCCTGCAGTTCTGCGGTGCCTGGGGATACCAGCGAGGATCGTCACCAACTATTTCTCAGCCCACGACAATGATGCCAACCTGCAACTGGACATTTTCTTGGAAGAAGACGGCAACGTGAACTCCAAACTCACTAAGGATTCGGTGTGGTGAGTTTGATTTGCAAGGGCCCTGGCTGATATCAAATTGAAGCGCATGACCCATTTACCACCAGACAGAGTCAGTCTGATGTTTCTTTCTGTTCTATTTTAAGGACTACTCAATACCATGGGCACAAATGTCTGATTGTCAGAGATTGTTTTTAGCTAATGAATGAGAAATGTTACTGAACAGCAGCTTGGGCTTCTAGTAATAAAGATCGATCACCCCATTACAGCAGCAACTCCTGGAAAAGGCCACAGCTTTAGTGGCCGGAGCCTGTGCCAGTTCCTCTCTAGCTTTTGTTGTTGTTGCTGTTCAGTCACTGAGTCGTGTCCAACTCTTTGCAACCCCAGCACACCAGGCTGCCCTGTCCTTCAGTTTCTCCCGGAGTTTGCTCAAACTCGTGTCCATCAAGTCAGTGATGCTACCTAACCCTCTCATCCTCTGTCATCCCTTTCTCCTGTTGCCTTTGATCTTTCCCAGCATCAGGGTCTTTTCCAATGAGTCAGTTCTTCTCATCAGGTGGTCAAAGTATTAGAATTTCAGCGACAGCATCAGTCCTTCCAATGAATATTCAGGGTTGACTTCCTTTAGGAGTGACTGGTTGGATCTCCTTGCAGTCCAAGGGGCTCTCAAGAGTCTTCTCCAGCACCACACCTCTAGCTTAGTACATGACTATTATGGTGAACAGCAAAGACACAGAAGCCATCTGTTCTCTACTATAAGAGTAACAAGCCAACGTTTACTAAGCGTTAGTGTGTACCAGTCTCTGTGTGTACATGATCTCATCTAATCCTTTTAATTGTAATCAGATAGGAGTTTATTACTACTCCATTTACAGCTGAGCAAACTGAGACACAGAGAGGTTAAAATACTTTTCTCAAGGTCACACATCTGGTAAGCTTAGAATAAAACCAAGAGCATCTGACACTTAACCACAACCTTTTTGTTTTTGGCCTTTGCAACATAAATAGGATTGCCCTTTGCATGTAAAGATGTGGTTCTCCTGATCTGTGACCTCATCTTTTATTCAGAGATAGAAGTGGAAATAAAGTCAGAATTATCACCAAATGCCAGCCCTGTGGTTTTTTCACTGCCCTGAACAGCTGTATCATAAGCTGGCTGCAAGGAGCTTAGGATTCCAAAGAAATTTCCTTTATCCATGGGGACCCACTCACTCCAAAACAGTATTCTAAAAAGATGGGGGAAAAAAAATCCCAAGAATCCAGATGTAAAGGGTATTCACAAAGGTCTGTATGGTGGGAAACTGCCAGGCATGAACTCAGTGGAATTTCCAAGCCAAAAAGATGTCTCCTAGAGCTGTTCTTTATAAGTAATAAAGCTAAAACACTGTCAGCGGTGAAAACATCCGAGTGGGTATGGGAGGAAGTTGGAAGCTCATTTTAGAAGAAATTAAAAGTTAGAAGTGTCTGAACTCCCCCATGTCACAGGAATGGAGCGCAGATGCAGGGGCAGAATTCCCTCAGCAGTCCCAGCAGACGCTCATTTGAGAATGAGAAAAGAAGCAAGGCTGCTTAACTAGTGAAAAAATGCTCGTATGAGTAAAAAACACTGCCGTTCACTTGGGGGGAGCAGGCTGAGCAATGACAAGCTGGAGACTGTCGTCAAGACAAAACCTCTCCTCTGTAAACTGTTGAAAGCACCCTTTAAGCCCTTGGAATCCCGGTAGAGCAGCCCTGTGTGTACATGGAATGACAAAAAAAAAAAAAAAAACAGACCCAAATAGCCACCCCCGAAGCTGCCGTGACATTCCAACATGGCAGATAAGAAAAATGGTACCGATGAGCCTAGTCGCAGAGCGAGCATAGAGACAGCACTGGAGGAAAGACCATGGACACGGGGTGAGGCACGACCCGGGAGGGTAGCTCTGGCATTACACACGACCACGTGCAACACGAGCAGCTGGGGGGAAGCTGCTGAACTCAGCTCGGCGCTCCGTGATGACCTGGGGGTGGGAGACCCCCGAGGGAGGGGACGTCTGCACGCACGGAGCTGATCCACCTCCTGTGGAGCCGAAGCTAACACAACCTTGTAAAGCAATTAAACGCCGATTTTTAAAAAGAATTATTTGGCATTCTGCACTGCTTACCTCTTTCTTACTCTCTCCCTCTCTACACAGACACACACACACACAGACACACACACACACACACACACACACACTCAATGCCCTTGTAGCCAACTGCAGCTCAGAATTATTCCTCCCAATTCTTTAACCCAAATGCCTCCCACCATAAATCCCCACAGGCACCCCGACAAATAACCTCACGACGCCCCTTGTTCAATTGATACCAAAGCATGAAGCTGACAGATCTTTTCTTGGTAACCCTTTCCTCTTTCAGCTCTCTGCTCTGAATTCCTTTCCCAGTTTCTACCACTCTCATTCCTTCACTGTGCTCAGCCGTGTCAGACTCTTTAGAGACTGTGTCCGTGGAATTTCCCAGACAAGAACACTGCAGTGGGTTAGCATTTCCTACTCCAGGGGATCTTCCTGACCCAGGGATCGAACCCGTACCTTCTGCATCTTCTGCTTAGCCAGGCGGATTCTTTACCACTGGCGCCTCCTGGGAAGCCCAGATGTCCCTGGGCTTGTCCCTCCTTCATTATCTTCCCCGAAGATCCCACCACCATGGGACCATGTTCTCTGGCCTGGGCCCTCCCGCCTCCTCCACAAGCAGACCACCACCCCAGCCTCCCCGTCTCCCCTCTGCTTGGCTCACAGACGGTGGCTGAGAGTCTACTAACTGCACAGCTGCTGCTCACCCAGCTCGGGACAGGCCGGATCGAGGCATGCAGGGATGAGGGGTTCGGTCAGCCCTGGGTCAGGCACTACAGACAGCCCGGGTCAGGCTGTGTGACCTTGGGCACCGCACACCCTCTCTGTGTCTCCCTTGCCCCCCAGGGTGGAGCTGACACCATTCCCAAGCATAACAGGTGCCTGATGAGTGCTCGCTGCTGTTACCCCGCTCATCACTAGCCGCACAGCTGGAGTCTCGTGGAGGCAGTATGTTGCCATGGACCTCGGCACTCTGAAGCAGTCAGGAGGAGAGGGGGCCCAGTGTTCCGGGATGACTTGCTATTTCTGTCACTCTGGGCTTTTTTTTTTTTTTAAATGAAAGCCAGAAACTGCCTCCTCAGTACAAACACCAGTGAACCCTAGAAGTGATAAACGTTCTGGAAAGCCAGCAGTATTGCTGAGACCCTCCTTGGTCGGGGAGGCTGGTGGAGACTGTCCCTGGACGGGTCCGCCAGCACGGGGTCAGCACGGCCAACCCTGAGTCCAGCTCTGACTTGGGCAGTCACTGGCCGTGTGACCTTGAGAAGACAGCTTTACCTCGCTGAGCTTCCTTGTCAGTAGACTGAGGCCACAGTAGTTACCAATTAAACGACAATGTAAGGAGGCAAGGAAAGTGCTCCCCACAGTGCTCCGTCGGAAGGCAGTGCTCGGCGGGCACCTGCCGTTGAGACTGGCGAGAAGCAGGGCCCGCCTGCAGGGCCGGCAAGCCGGGGAAGGGTGGGGGCGAAGGCTGACGGAGGCCGAGCCCAGGCAGGGAGGAGCCCGCGGGCCCCCGCTGACCCCCGAGAGGCCAGGGCCGCGCGGCGGGCATCACGTGGCCTGACAGGCTTCCTAGTGGGGGGTCTTCGGAGCCGTCGGCCTCCCCTGAGCCGCCAGCCTCACTTCCCTCCTCCGGCTCCTCTCAGACAGAATGTCGGTTTGTCTGTGGCCCCCCGCGCCCCTCTTTCTTAAGGCAACCACGAGAAGGATTGCCTGGTTTTCTCACTGCCTCCAATCTCTCCAACACTGAGGTGCTGATGGTGGTGAATCAGAGGCCAGCTGGTCCGGCTGGGTCTCGGTGACCCAGGGCGTCCTCTTCTCCGTGGCTCAGTGGAGTCCCACATGCCCGAAACAGAAATACGCCTGGAAGCGGGGGTCACAGGGAGAGTGGAAGATGGGTGTGAAGGCGTGTTGTGTGGTTCAACAGCCCACAGGGCTGAAGTCTGCCTTCTCCCGGGGCTCTGACCTCCTTTACCCCCGCAGACCACCCAGCACCGACCGCTCACCCGCCGGCTTCCTGCTCTGCCAGCCCGGGTCCCTGCATGTGGATCCCCCTCCCAGAGAGCCTCGGCTCGCCACGGGCAGCGGTTTGGCACTGAGTGGACGTCCTTTAGATGCCCCTGGAGGGAAGGGTGGGCTTCTTGCGATTCAGGAGAGGGAGGGACTCTTACAAGGGCACAGCTGGGTGGAGTAATTGGACCTCGGGCTCGCAAATGAAATTCCGGGAGGGCCAACGCAAGGTAACATATCCTGGAAGCAGCAATTTAAGCCGCCTGTCCCCAGTGTGCTGATGGGTTTGGAATTATGTGTAAGCTCTGGGGGAAGGCATCCATGAATCACCGAGGACAGCTTAATGAAGATGCGGGTGCAATGTCCAGCTGCAGTCCAGGCAGTGACAGGGGACGTGGGGCTCACGCTGGGCAGGAGTGAAGTGACCAACTGTCCACACCCTGAACGAGCTCAGCTTGCTCACCTCACCAGACCACAGTCACAATACAGATGGAAACAAGGTTTTATGGAAATTAGGGCTCCAACATAGTAAAAGGTGAATGTGTAATAGTTTGGGTTCCAATCAGTTCTCAAGGATTTGGGGTAATTACATGATGCCAGTTCTGTAAAAGCTTTTTATTTTGTTTTGGGGTATAGCTGATTAACAATGTTGTGGCAGTTTCGGATGAACAGCAAAGGGACTCAGCCATACATACACATGGATCGGAAATGGAAACAATTTTAAAAGAAAGGGATGGTGGTGCTGTTTAGGGTCATGAAAGACATTGCAGCACAAGGTTCCTCTGCTTCTAAATGGAAGTGTGATCCAGTGTCCCACTGCTGGAGAGGAAGTGGTCAGACGGGATGATCCTGGGTAAAGGGTCTGTGCCCACCTCTAGACTTGTCTCCATCAGAACGTAGCCCTCAGCGGGGCTGCCATGT